TAATAAAATACACAAAATTTGTCATAGGTATAATTAATACGACTAGTGATCCCGCAAAAGTCGAAGTTCGACTCTAATTAAATGAAATTATAAGTTTGAACATTACTTTGGTTCTATTGTCAAATACTTCGACTACTACTACTTCTATAATCACAGATTTCGCCAAGACTCCATTATAGACAAACAATATTAATCTATTCAATTTGACTACAGACTAAGAGACCACAGAATAAACAAAAGAGTATATTATATATATGTGTGTGTGTGTCAAATACATGGTAGTGGGCATAATATCTTGTTTATTGATTTTTTGTATTTTTTATGCATAATTAAAAAATATATTAGTATTCTGCACTCCTTCTCTATATTCTCTATAAATGTGGGAAATTTCATACTCCTCCGTCCGCGCAATTTTCGTAAAAAGGGGTACAAAGTTTTTGCTTAACATATTAATATATTAATACGATATAATACTATAATGTTCATAATTTGTAATAAAACAAATTTTGGAGGACGGTACGTTATCGAACTTAATGTAGATAGATCCTTCTGTTGGATCGATACTTCGAATGTTATCGTCTCTGACGTCCCTGTCTCGATAGTCACCATTGACATTTGACAGTATGACTTTGATGATTGAACGCGACCGTGGCTTCAATAAGACCATAACTTCGGTTTTAGAAGAAGTCATTCCTTACGTGACAGCTAGGTGAATATTGTGCCTTTAGGCACACCTATGTTATTCGACGTGACATGTTTCTCGTGTGCGCTTTTGTGTAGATCGACACTGTAGGGTAGTATTCTTATACGTAACTATAATCCAACCATACGTCCGAGTCGAACACCAGACTCACGTGGTGGTTCAACGTGGCTCTGGGATCCCTTAAAAAATTGAAAATACAGAAAGAAATGTACGTGTAATAGGGCCGCTGGGGCGCCGCCAGGGCACGTCTGGAGCTGACACTGGACGTGGCAGCATGCAGACCGCCAGTGGTAGATTAAACAGGCGGGCCACGACCGACTAATCTACTACAGCCGAAACACAAATGACACTTACACCAGAAACTCTATAGGAATCAGCAAGAAGTGTTTTGCAGGACACAATACCTGCAAACCACCCTTGCTGGTTGAAACTGGCAGCAAATGAAGTGGATGGATGAAGTAAACAAACAACTACTTCGCTGCTATTACATTGTTTCAAATTGCGAAACTAATCTTACAACTCTACACGAAATTCATTGAAATATATCCAAACCTTCAATTAATATCAGAACAACGCTTAGCAGATCAAATGCGAGCTATGCACCGCAATAATAGGCCTTCAGCCGCAGAAAGGGAAATAATAACGGCCGAAGTAGAACAAAATCGACATAGTTTGACTTCAATATCTACAAATCCAACTAACTCACCTCCCATAAATCAGGCAAACATAATACACAGTACTCAACATGGTTCACATGATACAAATAACAAAAGTACTTTTAACTCAACAGAAGACATAGTACACACACCATAGACAGACTCACAAATAACAGACCTTGTGCTTACAGCCTCATACACACTATCACACACACCATCTGCACATAAACAAGCATCAGATACCCAAACAGACCAACCTAATACTACAGAGAGAATACATTAATAGTAATATATCAATAATATATCATACATACCTGATAAAACTTTGGTTTTGCAATAAGCACCCCTTATCTAGTGCAACAAAATGTTTATAAATAAGTACTGCTTACCTGATGTATAAGTGCAAACTCATAGCCGGGTGATTTCAGTTCATTAAACGGGTATCTTAAATAGAAGGAAAAATACGTCATGATGCTGCTATATGATATGATGATTGATATTATATATTACACGCTAATTATTGTAATTGATTTCGGTATTAGCAAACGACAGCTTTACCAAAGCCATGGCCAAGCCAAGCCAAGCCTTTACAGAACCATTGGACAGAACCATCCTACATAATATGTGGACTCATATAGGCTTTGAGCTATCAGCAATAATAAAAAATATACTTACACAAACAGTTTTGTACTTATAAAAAATAAATATTACTCACTTAGCTCGAATGAAAAATGTGCTGCTATGCTCACCCATGAACCAGAAAGTAGTCGACAAAACAACAAATGCACTGTTGAACTGTAAAAACCGGGTCGTCTCTTTATCGACACTGGAAAAAAATATGCGTTTAATCAACAGTAAAGTGAACATCGCTTAATAATGGAATATACTTAATTGTTAAATAGCTTTAAAGCCATATTTCGATGCTTTTAATCAACAGTAAAGTAAGTGACCATCGCTTAATAATGGAATATACTTAATTGTTAAATAGCTTTAACGCCATGTTTCGATGCTTTTAATCAACAGTAAAGTGAACATCGCTTAATAATGGAATATACTTAATTGTTAAATAGCTTTAACGCCATATATCGATTGCGATTTTCGATTTTATGCGATATGTCGCTAGAAAAGCAACAGACTCCACAATCATAGTGAGTCAGTGTTTTAGTTGTCATGTTCAGGTTCTTTACGTTAAGTGGCTGATTGCTTTTTAAAGCACCCAATGAATAAAGACGATGAAAATGGGTTCGTGAATACGTAGCATAGCACCATAGTCACGAATCCTGACCCCGAAATGGACATCCGACATCTTCCATGGTATCCTATGCTCCCATCCATTACACAATGGATAAATTTCAAATTAGGGTTGTTTACGGAGACTTGCATTCCCACGGCCCTTCCAGGCCATCACTCAATGAGGAATATTGGTAATCCACAGGATGGTTTAAACTATTCATAACCCCGCTTGTAACGAGCATGAAGAGGCCAAGCTGTCACGCTAAAAAGTAGAATTTCATATGGCACATTTGAAGTAGGAGACTATAATAAAATGAAGCAGGACACTATAATAAAATTTTAAAAACCTATTTTCCAAAGTCTTTGGACAATTCTCAAAACCCCCTTTGTACACTCACAGAACATCGATAATCATCATCTTCAACATCTCAACCTGTCCATTGTCCACTGCTGAACATAGGCCTCTCCAAGTGATCTCCAGTGCGGCCGGTCCATCGATAATGATCAGACAATATTATAAAATAAGATCGTAAAAATAGGTTGCTCTTTACATTGTAATTAGAGTATAAGCGTACCTTGCGATAATCCTTTGGCCTTCCAATCCGTTTTCAAAATACAATATTTCTTCAGTTCCATTGATGATCTCCATTATTCTATCGTATCTCAATAACAAGGTTAAAATCTTAGAAATCACTGCGAATTCCATAAAGAGAAGCAAAGCTGTTTCCGCCATGAGATTAATGTCACCCCAGATGTCAATAATGTCCGCGATTTGTACGCAAGCTGCAGCAACTGGTTAGAAAATAATATGTTTACTTGTGCTACTCACGGATATGATCTTACAAAAATTGCAATCTTTACAACTTAGATAGAGATCGCAAGCCATAGACCTCGTAACGTCACACATCACAACGACATTACATAGGTCATCGAGCAAATTGTAGCGGGGGACTTCCTTCACCAATTCAAATAGCACGTCGATGTTAGGAAATTCCTTAGAGCTAAAAGCCCCTCGATCCGGGCTTACGTTAGGTATCCTACCAAGGAAAATCGTATTCGAATGCGCGCCCTACAACGCGACGTGAAATCTAGCATCGACGAAGTCCGAGACGCCAGGTGGTCTAATTTCTTAGAAGGACTCGTCCCCTCCCAACAATCTTACTATCGTTTAGCTCGGACGGTCAAATAGGATACGGTAGTAACTATGCCCCCCCCTCGTAGGCCCCTCTGGTCGACTCGCAGCGTTCGATGATTACGAAAAAGCAGAGCTGCTGGCCGATACATTGCAAACCCATTGCACGCCCAGCACTCAATCCGCGGACCCCATTCGTATATGAGTAGAATTAGTAGACAGTGAGGTCGAACGCAGAGCCTCCGTACCACACTCAGACGCGTTACCATTCGTTAGCCCGATGGAAGTTAAAGACCTGATCAAAGACCTACGTCCTCGCAAGGCTCCTGGTTCCGACGGTATATCTAATCGCATTATCAAACTTCTACCCGCCCAACTCATTACGATGTTGGCATCTATTTGCAATGGTCGCTATGACGAACTGCATCTTTCCCGCGGTGTGGAAAGAAGCGGATGTTATCAGCAAACATAAATCCAATAAACTGAAAAATTATCCTCATGTCTCTAGGCGAACTTTACTCCGCTGACTCCGTCATCTCTCCCCTCCTGTTTAGTTTATTTATCAACGACATTCACCGCCGACCTGATACGATCGTTTATTATTTGAATAGAAACAAGTCCCTAATGGCGAGTAAGCTCCGGAGCGCACCCTTGACCCTCGGACAGTGGTTCCGGAAACGGCGCATCGATATTAACCCAGCGAAAAGTACAACGATGCTCTTTCAAAAAAAGGGAACTCAACCCGTATCTCCTCCCGCATTAGGCGCAGGAATCTCACACCCCCGATTACCCTCTTCGGCCAATCCATAGCTTGGGACATGAGGTTCAAGTACTTGGGAGTTATCCTGGATGCATTCGTTACATGCCACCCACACACAAAGTCTGTCCGCGACCGTGCCGCGTTTATCCTCGGTAGGCTTTACCTCACCGCACCCACATAGACACCAATCATGTTTTTGCAAGTTAGCCGTCGGACCACTGTGGTTCGTGAAGAATGACGACCTACACAGCTATCTGGGTCTTCCGAATCGATCCGGAAACACCTGAAGCTAGCGTCGGAACGGTACCTACTTCGATAAGGCCTCACCGTTGCCGCCGCGGATCCCATCCTCAATTCCTGTCCACGCAGAAGCCAGTCATCGTCGACGCCCTGGACACATCCTTACGGATCATCCATCAGATCCATTAACAATATTATTAGACGCCTATAACCCTAACATTAGGAGCTCGCCCACCTGTCCTGGTAAAACTGGTTTTCTTATATCTGAGTTCATCACTATTGTACATAAACTTACGAGTATGGTTGGAATATTAAAATGCATCATTTTAAAATTTCATTGTAAGATGTTACGCACCAAATAGATATAGGAAAACCAGCCATGCATACACTCTGACGATGATCCTTTGAGTCTTCGTGTATTGATCTCGCATTATTAATCCAGCCCATGATAAAGTGTTCAAAGTTATTGTTAAACCAAACATTTTGTTTTTTATAAAGAACGCCATGGCCACATCGAAAAATGACTGAAAATAAAAATAAAATCCGTTAGTGTCTGATTTAGAGCGTACATCAGGTGAGGTGACAAGAGAGTATTTTGGCTAATCATGGCCATCTTAGGTAGATGATCTCTCGGTCCACCTATATTACATGAGATTAGCAAATGGGTCGGGTTTCTGATCTCTGACTTTATTAGGTTTTAGGAACAAACAGTTTTTCCGCGTATGCCAAAGTAAATATATTTTAAATTTATTTGAAATTTATAAACTAGTTGTCAATTTTTACTGGATCCGAATAAAAACAATCGGAATATATGCGTAATGATACATATAGTATATTAAATGATTTTCTTATACAATGATATTTCCTCATATCATTCAGAATAATTTAGAAGTAATATTACCAAAACTAGCTTGTAGGTGTGTCTACAGCCTGGACTTCAAACGCAAACTGAGAGCTGGTTCAAGCCCAGAATTCCTCCTATGCAACTGGCAATTACGCGTTAAGGGTTACAGGGGCGGAAACATTGTATGGGAAAGTAGCCTATGGTCATGAAAATCCAGATACGGATTGAGAGATATAAACCCTTTGTCAAATTATCTCATACTGAATATCAGGTTTCTTTGTCATTCAATTATTATCTACGACAAATGATAATGGTGTTAGCATTAATGTATCTGTATCAATTGGTCAGATAATTTTTGAAGTTTGTTATTGGACACATGCCAACTTTCTCAACTTAGAAAGTAGGTAAGCTTAGAATTACTAACAGACTTACGTGGTAATCTCTCATATGATGGTTTCATTCGTTGTTTGATGAGAGGAGTGGCTTCCTCTCTTATGTCGTATTGTGATCCTCTTCCTTGCGTCGATAATCCTCAGTGCTGAGGGTCGTGGCCTCCTCTAATAACTTGCATTATCTTGCGCCATTCCTGCCTGCCCTCGGCTGTTGGGGTAGCAACGTGGACTGAGGTATTGAGAGTGGAGCGTATTTGGTCCGACCAGCACATTGGGTTTCTGCCTCTGTGCCTTCTCCAGCATACCTTGCCTGTTACCAGCAGCTTTTCCAGATTGTCACCTCTCTTTCTGGCGATATGTCCAAAGAACTCGAAACTGTGATACTAAAGTATTAATATATTTTATATCTAGCTTAATACGTACGCATAAAACGATTCGACGACATTCATCCACGGGTTTGAGAGTTGGGTGTACGAATGGTTCCAAAACACTTGTAAACTATCGTATGGACAACATTCGCAAACCCATCATTGTAATCGTCCACGGAGCCTCCTAGCCAATTGAAACGGTTTTGATTTTCGAGCCGAAAGTATCCATGAGTTTGGATCTGAGCTGATGCCGACGGATCGTAGACCTTATCAATCGGAATCTCTTTAGCTTTATATTGAAGTTCAGTGTGCCTCTCACTGTCCGGTTTTAACCGTGTTAATCACAAAGACATCATTGAATATTTTCCTTTTTGCCGTCATAGTGAAATCTATCACATTTTTGATAGCATATTTTTAAAATAACCTAATTGTAATTTAAAGTTTACTGCCAGTCGCCATACATAGATCACTACTTTAAAACGGCAACTTCATACATAAAGACCTATAAATACATACATTTATATTCATTAAAAATAGAGGGCATCATGATGTTTAATATGTTCGTTATGTCGAGTTTCACTACATGAATAGAAGATGAGCTCAGAAGATCGCTTGACTTAAAGCATAACTCACATAACATACATACTTATCGTATGAATTAAATTATAGAATTTCATACGAATATTTTATTAAAATACTGAATTCGGTTCTGAGTCAGGAATGCAACATAATGGCAAAGTAA